TACACCAACACCACCATTACTTGTTGAAGGCTCAACATCATCTGCTTTTGAAACATCTCAAAATCCTCGCCAGATTGATCGCAAGGTTCAAAGCCTACAGAGAAGTCTTCAAAAGAAAAGAACACTTTCTAGCAGTCCAGTCTCTCATATTCAACATCTTGAGAAGGCTGCACAGGTGGCAATGAATATGAATCTATTTCTTCATCAAGAAATCAAGGTTCTACGAGCTGAAGGTGAACGTAAAATAAAGAAGAAGGCAAGGAAACGTGCTTCTCTAGGGAATGATTTATTTATCTCTGTACAAGAAGGCCGTGAGCATATACAGCAGCTTGATACACAGCTTAATGAGCAGGTTGATGAGCTTACACCTATGCCTCGTCAACGCGCTTCACCACGCTGTAGTGGCTGTGGGACTGTTGGGCATACAATAAGAAGCTGCCCTAATAAATAGCTAGATATTTTGTCTGTTATATATTTTAATTCAATGGTGTTAGTGGTTGCAAAGCTTCAAATTCGTGGTGGTTGCGGAGGAAGTGGACGGGACGGCCGTGTGGACGGCTCGGCCGTGGATTACGTTAGAGATCTCCAAAATTCCTGACCTAATCATCCCGATTCCCGTGAATACGTATATATATATCTCTCTGCATGTTTTTTTCCAGATGGGTGCTACTTTCAACCCACTGGTATTTTCATGGCATCCATGACACTTGCAACCAAATCCTTTTCTAACCTAGCTCCCGCACTTCGCAAATCTCCTTCTCACTCATTTACTCGAACAATGACGACCGCGGTTTTCAAATATATTGACCCTGCCTCTTACGATCCCAATGCCACCGAACCTTTCAAGAAGCCTTGGAATAAGGTCGATGGACCGGGTTCCTCCTATAGCCTTTTGGACAAGACTCGATCGGTTGAGAATCTCCGTGGCCAGGAGGCTAAATTTTCAACTGATAATAGCGGATTCGCTGTCTATAAAAGTCCCACGAAAGAGAACCATTTTACCGATACGTCTCGGGTGACGACAGACTACTACACTGAAGTCGAGGAACTTCTCCGAGAAAAGTTGCCGGGCGTCAAGAAAGTAGTCATATTCGATCACACGATTAGGCGGAGAGAAAAGACATCTCCACGCGCTCCTGTCCAACTGGTTCATGTTGACCAAACGCCGTATGCTGCCGAACTCCGAGTGCGTCGCCATCTACCACCGAACGAGGTAGAGGACTTGTTAAAGGGACGGTATCAAATCATCAATGTCTGGCGCCCTATTCAGAATCCCGCGTCAGACTTTCCCTTAGCTGTTATTGATTGGCGAACAACCGCCCCTTCCGACTTTGTCAAAGTCGATCTTCTCTATCCGAAGGACGCCAAAACAGGAGAAGACAGGGCCCAAGCGCCTGGCTCTGAACACCTGACTGACGGTTACGAGGCTAGAGGGGAGCAGTATGCTATTGCTCCAAATGAGAAACACCGCATCTACTACCAAAAAGACATGACGCCGGACGAGGCCATGCTCATCAAATGTTTTGACTCACGAAGCGATTCCATGACTGGGATAACGGGCATCGCCCATGGGGCAGGTCATACAGCCTTTTGTGATCCCCAGACACCCAAAGATGCGCCAACAAGGCAAAGCATCGAGGTCAGATGCCTGGTTTTTTATGAGTCGTAAAACCGATTATCTTGAGAAGTCTAATGGCCTCGCGTGTAATGATTGCATTACTTTCGGAAAGAGTTCGAAGCTGGAACGACAGCCACTTTCTTAACGGAGTGTAGGAACTGGTGGTGCTTGAGCTTGCAAGAGTAGGATTAAGAAAAGAGGTCTGCAAGTCTAGCCATAGCTTTATATGAAGCACACTGAAATAATATTTTATGTAACCCTGTTCTGCCAACAGTGTCTATGGGCGCACAGTCGGAATTGTAATAGAAGGATCACCATAGAGGCTAGAGCATGGGGAATCTGTACGACAGTGTAGTGGGTATAGGTGTGAAGAACACAGAGGCTATTGAGATCAAAGACATACGTTCCCTAGAGCTGGAGCTGCGTGGCGATGCACTGCTAATGGCCGACGGCGACCAGTTTACAAGGCTAGAGGGTCACAGCAGACTCCAGGACAGCAACATCCTTGAGCTTGGAATTGTGTCTGAACATCTGTTGGTGGGAGAGCCGTGCCAGCCGGGCATGATTGTCTGGCAAGCCAGTCATCCCCTCAGCATTCTTTTTTCGTACGTTTGGACTGTACATAAAACGACTCCGTGACGCGAGAAGGGACTGTTTTACTGCAGCCTTATCTCGACTACCTCATATACTGGTTGCCTCATTCATATTCCTTGACACCACATAACAAATGGCCAGATTATAATCTTGAATTATCCTTCCAGCCGGGCATGTCCGCAAGGTCCTTCGCTGGGCTACCATGCGTAGACTTGAGGGCATCACCGCCGGGTCTCCATCTCCACGCATCGGCCAGGTCGTCTGCCAAAGATCCCTCTATAAGCTCAACGACATGCTTACCAATGTTCGGTAGAAGTTTGAAGCTGTGGCTATAATATACAATTAGCATAAATTCTGTCAAGAATCCCGTCACATACTATCACTTACCCACTATCTCCTGTGGCAAGGATGAAGTTCTTCCACCGTGGGTGCTCGCAGACCAAAAGATTGGCATCGGCAGTGTCTGTACACCAGCACATGGCTCGGTTGAAAAGTTCCTTATCCTTGAGCTGTGGCATGAACCTGCTGACTGCTTTTCGAATGCTTGCTTCGGACGCATCTGGATAGGTATCTGTGGGATGCTTGGCGTGTGATCGAGGAACGGAGATGAGCTTGGGAGAGGCGGAGCCGAATGGTTGATGCTCTTTGAAGCGAGAAAATCCCGGGAATTCATCACAGACCTTAATGACCCCGTGCCTGTTGGTGGACCGCTTAGCGTGTTCTGTCCGCCTTGGGTAGGAAGCTATCACATACTCGTCCGGCTCGAAAAAAAAAGCCATATTCACCGTCGTATACTACAGGCACATTCTTGTATGAGGCTGCCTCTTCAGGCGTGAGTTGAATATGCGCGAAGACCCAGGCCTTGATTGTTGTTGAGTCAGTTGCCGACTTACGACTGGGACGCGCAAGCAATGGTGCCCTGTACTTACTTTAGAAACGCATTGGTCTTCCAGGTCGACTAGTGTCGGGCTCCAAGCGCCAGCAGCCAGAACAATCTTATCAGCATAATATTTTGTCCCGTCCACGGTCTCGATGCCGCTGCACATCGTCCCATTCGCGTGGAAGAGAGGTTGTTTGAACGTTCCGGCGCTACCAAGTCGCATTAGCTTCAGTGCACACCTCCAATTGTCAAGGCTGCGAAACCACGGCACATACTCGCCAAACCCAAAGTTGACTCCTTGATCCTGGAGAAATTGGCCTACTGCATTAATGGCTTTGGCTGCAGCGAGCCAACCTCCATCTCCGCAGAACAAGCCTTTCCATCCCTGTTGCTCGATCTCTTGTCAGCCATACTTCCCTTGGTGTTTTGGTAAGTACTGCTTGCCTTGGTTTGTTCCCGCGTAAATGGTGGCACTCGCACTCGCGCTAGGACCTTCTTCTCATTGTCCAGCCAGGTTTTCGTCTTCTCTAGTCCAACATTTGCGTCGATAAGAGACTGGTATTTCCGGCGAAGGTTTGCAATGCCCTTTTCCGAGGATGAACAGTCAATCTGCAGTAGGCCAACATGTAAGTTACTAATACCTCAACATCGGAAGCAGCTCACTGCGCTGACCATGCCAACATTATGGAAGAAAGGCTTGAACAGTTGGTCATTCTTCCACATATCTAGAGCTTCTAGCGAAAGCTGCAGATCAGGCTTATTTCGCAATCGGATGCTCATGATCTTGTTGATATCATAACCAGCGGACTGTGCGGAGGGAATTGGATAGACATCGAGAACGGTAATGTATGAGGGTGTATATCCAGAGCGGATTAGATGGAGTGCGGTCGAAGAACCCATAGTGCCGGCCCCGCCGACGACAATCATTCTTGTGTCTGCACGCGAGGTCGCCATATTTTAGCAATCGATTGGAGTTTTCATTGCTTCTTTCTTAGTTCCTAGGGCTCTGGCCATTATATTCCTTTAACATAAATACCTGTACAGGCTATTAGCTTCGCACCACTGTGGGCCCAGAAGATGTGATCTTTGGCCCTCGTCGCTCACCCACACATAGTTCGAATTCGCCGTCTATATAATACAACATGGTCTAGAATGGCTGTATGAAAGGGTTATCTGCAACTAGGAGTTAGTGTCTCTTCGGCATGTTTGCCCCGAAAAGTCCTTCCATGCGACCAACTCCGAGGGAGCGGTAGAAGGTACACGCGGGAAAAGGTACGAGCCCAGTGGGGCAGTAATAAGTGATCTTGTACGCGGAGTATATCACTCAGAATCAGACCAGGCTCCCCATAATAATACTCGGTGTCTACTGAATACAGAAGAGTCTATCTCCACCAATACTTATACTGGGTAGGTAGATGTCCGCTCGGCCTATCATCGGGGAAACTGGAAATAAACCTCCCATGTAGCCAAGGTACGAGAGGGTTCTTTAGTTCACGGATAGAAATAGTAAGTAAAACGGGACCGTCGTATAGCCTATTTAAGCTCCTGAAGCACTTCCAAGGATTTGTCCTTCACAGCTATGTCTATATAAGACAAATACTGTCACCAAAACGGCTGTGCTTGAGCCTGCTGTGCAGCCAGATATCCAATACCATCCTGATTATGAGAAATACCAGGCACATGTGCAATACTACCAGGCAATTGAAAGTCTAACGAAGAGCTTACCAACTGGCTTCCCAGACCAATTACGCTCGCCTTTGGAGAAGAAAACTGAAGCTCGTGGTCGATTATCTATACACATATTTGATAGTCACATATAAGAAAAGCACACAACTAATTTCAAGCACATCGCAAGCAGAGGTATCCCTGATAGCTCCAATAAGGCGCCTACAACCGATTGTACCGACACGTCACACAAGCCCTAAACCCACATCTTTCACACTCGTAGATGAACCACCGCAGCCGATGATCGCACTCTTCGCAATTATAAGCCCCCTTACGGCGTCTCCAGACATCGTGGTCGCATCCATGGATCTCCTGCTGATCACCAGCCTCGACAAGTCGCCGTTCATCCCACAGCTCACAGGTACAGGTCTTCCAGATAGCACCACAAACGTAGCAAAATTCGCGGTGACAACGGCAGCTGCCAGCGTTGGTTAGCATATGTTATCTCTCATCAAAGCAGCAATCAAAGGAAGACGTACGTAATATGGTTGCACCCAGTCCTCAACTCAACCATGTTTTTGCATCTAGAGCACCGTCTCCAACCGCTTTTCTTTGCAAGCTGCAGCATCCCTTCATTCTCATCCGGACAAGCGTTCTCGGGATAGTGGCTCTTCTTGCACCGCATGCATGTCCAGAGATTACATCTCGCGCAGTACCTACCGTTTACCCTCGGATTGGGAAACGGGTGCAGATAGCGCGAGCAGATTGGTGAGGAGCAATACGTGCGGTTTCCATCATTGTATTCGACTGTCTTGTTTTCGAATTCACGTCTGATGTCAGGGCTTAGGAAGTGTTGGACAAGTGGCAGAGGAATGGCAGTTCTACAGCAGCGCGGTGGAAACAGAGTCTCGTCGCGGAGAGAGTCTTCGAAGAGCTTGATGGTACAATCGCGGCAGTAGATGTGGGAGCAAGGAGCGGTGGTTACGTCTGTTTGGAGGAGAGTTTCGGTGCAAGCGACGCACGTAGCCTGGGGCTGTTGGGTGGGTGGTTGAGGGCGTACTATCCAGCGGTCATGTAAGTCAGCACAACTGACGACAAGAACTTGGATGAAGAAAGAGAAAGCTTTACCACGTGGCTGATCTGGCTGTCCTCCCTGCGCTTGTTCAGGCTGTTGATGTACCTCCTCCTGAGCAAATCGAATTGCAAGGAGTCTATCAGTCGCAGCACGGCTCTCTTCGTCACTGAAAGCCCCCAAGTTTTGTCTGTCTTGCTGGATAACACGAGCAAGGCTCATTGCTACTCTGTAGTCCACTGACTGGGATGCATACCGGTCGCCTTCTTCCTGCCAGGCGCGGACAACGGGATCCAGGTCATCTTGGGCGTTGGGGTTTGTTTGGGAGAATTCTTACGCGTCAGCTCGAAGGAGGTCAAGTATAGTCGTTAGACTCTGGTCATCCATCCTTGCTGAAAACTCAAAACGAAAGAGAGAAGACAAACGGTGATGGACGGATGGTGGTCGGGATAGAAAAGAGATGGGGTGGTGGAAGGTGCAAACAGTACCAACTATCGAGTAGCATTCACTACGACTGGTGAAGCATCTATCTTGACTTGTAACATGTCCTAGTAAGAAGTTAATATCAAGATTATTCCCTTGTTGAAGCAACGCGCATTACATTCTCTTTCTGATGGTGTCTTATGTTTTATCTCAGGAATAGAGTGGGACTGGTAATCAGTGAATCCCCAGCAGGATTGTGCTAGGAGTGATTCTGGGCAGTATGTATTTGATTCAATTACTGGTACATGAGTGACGAACGCTACGGCGCGAGTAATTGGACCGAACGGAACGCCATTAACCAGCAACTGGATTCATAGTTCATACCTCTCTTTGACTACGCTGCCGTTGGAGGTGTCAAAGCTAGATGCAGACAGCAATCGGTCGTAGCTCGTTCGCAGCACCAAGACCAACTCTTCGGAGCCGATGTCATCTAGAATCCGGTCAATAACAATGAAGTTTGTTTGGCCAATCAGTCGAGCATTAATTGAACGCTGCAATGTATTAGATAACTAGCTAAAGAGTGCTGCGGCGTATCAATAACCGACCTCGTGCTGCCAAGCATCGTTGAAAGTCGGGAAGACGGTGGTCAGTTTCGCTGTTCTAGTTTGAAAGGGCTATATGATATTAGATTCGCGTACCTGCGCGGAAGGGCATCTCAAGGAACATACATTCTCGACCCAAATGCGGCCGGGCCCATGTTCGCTTTTCCACATGGGGAGTTTGTCATCAAATACTTCAGAGTAAATGTCGTCTTCAGGTGAGGGCCCCGATTTCTTGACGCCCCCGTACCAAACAGTCAATTTCCCGGCCTCTACTTTGAGGTTACCAGACCGATATGCTGCCATTACTCCCTGCAGATTTCTGGTCTCCTTATGGGGCTGCCAGTCGCGATATATGAACTTGAGCGCCTGGAGCCTCCACTTGACCATCGGATCGAGATTTTGCGGTTCACCCATGTCCAGCCTGTCAACCATTTAGTTCTGTGTTCCGACGTCATGTGTATGGAGGTTAAGTCCATACTGTGTATAGTTCGGGCGATATATTGCCTTCTCAATCGCGGCAAATTCATACTTTTCTACCATTTCCCATTTCCTCGAGGGATTCTCCTTTCTTTGCTGGTGTCTCCGCAGGTTTCTCCGCCGCTGCCTTCGGGGCTGGGTCCGGCATGATCGACTTCGCGGCGTTCAGTTTAGCTATAAGTTGACATGTGCATGGATATGAGTTCATCATCATGATGCGGATAAGATCTTATCTCTTATCTCTTATCTCTTATCTCCATCTCTCGGCATGCCGAACACCCCCCCTCGGAATCAGCATTTCCCGATACAATACCGTATTTTTCTATTTTTCTACTTTCGTTTCCCGAACTTTCCGATTATCAATTTCGATTTCCGATGTGTCAGGGGTCCGCCTTTTTTTTTTTTTTTTTTTTTTTTCTTTCTTTTGCGCTTGACGTATTTTCGTCGTGCGTTCTATTGTGTTCCATTTGTTCTCTGCAAATAAAGTGGTTGTATATTGATTCAGATATTGACAGGGATTGTCGAACCATTGTCGAACCTCTGCGAACCCTTACTATCGAGGTACTAATCTGCAGCTGCATGAACCCTATCCGATTGAATGCTAATCGATCTCCAAGATCTGATTCTATACCGCCCCTATAATAGACAACGACGAACAAAATGTCCTGGCTCACCAGAACGACATCCTCCCTCCCCAAACGACCCTCATCCATCCTCCGACCTCTCACCATCACCAGACAAACCCTCCCTCAATTACACCACCAACAACGAACCTACAAAATAACAACCCCCCGCCCCGTCCACCCATCTTCCTCCCCCTCCGCCCAACAATCAACAACCGTCCTTCACGATGACCACCTCACAAACCCTAACTTCCCTGCCCCGACAAGCACAAAAAATGAGCAAACTCACATCGACGCCCTAATCTCAACCCTCCCCCTCGTGCAATCCTTGCGCCACAACCCATCCTACAAAGAATCCCGCCCCCACCACTCCATGGACCCATCGCTGCGATCGATGCATTTCGTCGCGGGTTCGCTGGCGGGGAAGAACAAGGTTACTGTTGCGCCGTTTATGTGGATGTCCAATCCCTCCTCTCCCCCCTCCACCTCGTCTACTGTATCTTCGCCATCGGCGAAAACCAATACCAAAACAAACGGGAAGGGAACGGCCGGCAGCCATCTGTACTCAATCTTCCACATCGGCGGGCACCTCTGCGGACACCCGGGGTACGTGCACGGCGGGTTATTATCGGTGATGTTCGACGAGGCCTTCGCGCGGTGCGTATCAACATCGTTCAACAGTGGGCTTGGTATGACGGCGAATTTGAATGTGGATTTCCGGAAGCCGGCGCTGCCGGGTAGGTTGTATGTGCTTGAGGCGGGGACTGTGAGGGTTGAGGGGAGGAAGGCTTGGGTTGAGGGGAAGTTGGTTTGTTTGCCGGATGTTGGGAACGGGGAGGAGGGGGAGGGGGTTATGGTTGCGGAGGCGAGGGCTTTGTTTGTTGAGCCGAAGTTTGCGGAGGTTTGTTCTCTAAATTTCCCCTGGTGGTGAGAAAATGGCTAACTCGTACAGTCTATGATTCCGTTGTATAAAGGTTGATCCATTGATCCCGGATCGAGTTGGATAAAGTTCTTCATTTTGCGTTTTGCATAATACCCATAGACAGAATAGAATAGAATAGACTAGATCATGTACCATTCCTATCTAATTGTTATCTCACAAATGCACGCCTTGACTCCCTACCAGGCCCGATCAACCTGATAACAATCTTGCAACAATAACCGAAAAGTAACTGATGGAGAAGACCGTCCATGCCCTTCATTAGCCAGAGTAAGAACATGCCGACACCTTTTCTTTCCACGCCAAGATGAAAACGACGAAAATACAATTATGTAATAAAGTATGAAACATAAGAATGCATCAAACCAAGCGAAAGTCGATAGACCAAAATCAAGAAAGATGGAATGCGCCTTGTCCTTCCTTGATCGCGACGGAAAGTCGCTCCCGGAGGACATCCAGACTGCTGTAATCGGGCAGCTTGAGATAGTTGACACAGGTCATAACACTGGGAAGATAGTCGTCGGGCGTGTACGGATGTTCGCTGGGACGGCAGACAACCGTGAAAATCGGTGTCAAACTCTTGAAGCCTATAGACGAAGATGATTAGCCAAATTCAATATAATGTGCATGGAAATACGTACCGCCAATAGGAAGCTTTGGACTTCCAGTGACAAACTGCAAAAAGTCCCGGCGTTGCTGCATGTCGAACTCGCTCATCGTTTGAAGCAGGTTCCGTACACTCCGGCTGTCCATGTTGAAGCCATGATCCGCCTTAATAGAGTCCATGAGAGTCTCAATAGACCAGTCCTCCTTCGACTGACCGAACAGAATCACCAACTCGCTCGGGGTAAAGGTCTTCAGCGACGAGTAGGCGAATACTTGCGAGAATCCTGCCCGGAAGGCTTCCACTTGGCGACAGACACCGGAGCCCAGCGTCATGTCGACAACCCGATCCACATAGAGATCAACATTTTCAATCGTCACCGAAGTGTTGGAACCGTCCTTGATCAAGTCGATGGATGGGTAACCGGGCAGGGTGAAATCCAAGCCTAGGTCATCCACCTTGACACTATCAACCTCGACCTGCTGTAGCGCTTGAGCCTTGTCTGAGGCCGACAGGCCCTTATCCTCAACAGCCTTCTTGGCGCTTGCAAAGCGTTTCAAAAGCATCAGAGAGTTGGCAAGATCGTGATCAACAGCCTTCACTGTACCAAGCGATGGCGTCACCGACGATGAGCTGTCCGCAATTCGGAAGAACGCCGGGTTGAAGAAGACATCGATAATCCGAGAGTCAAGCATCGAGCGGGCAACGAATTTACCGAGTATCTTGAACAGCTGTAGCTGTTTCTTGCCGGACTCTTGAGATGACTGCGCATCGCTCATAGGCGCAGGGAACAAACCACGCTTACCAAAGGCATATTCATCGCCGTGGTTGCAATCATTCTCCCGCCACATCTTGAGCTTCTTCTTGGAAAATTCCTTCGAAATCGTCGAGTAGAACTCCAACGTAGGACCCAATCCGGTGCCCACTTCCTCGAAGTACTCAATCTCGAGAATACTAGACGAGGAGCCGTACAGCTCCATGACCTTCATAGCAGACTCAAGAATCCGAGATCGCGAGATCCGCACCTTCTGTCGCTGAAGTCGGCCCAAGAATGGCCGGTCGTCTGGCCGGTCATGACGATTGTCATCCCCATGCGAGCTTTGCCACCTCAACATCGCGCGCGAGTACCCAAACGCTGTTGATTGAAGGAAGAGGTGCCGTGTCTCAAACGGGAACAAGAACGGGAATAGACGAGCTAGATCTTCGCTCCAGCTGGGAAGGCAGCTGCTCGCCACGATCAAAGGTTCCTCGAGTTGCCGGTTCAGCTTGGCCGTGAGCTTTGTGTTGATGAACTGTGCCAATGGCTCCGGTTTGATTGCCATAATGTCCTTGATCTCAGCCAGAATATCATCCAGCGTGGCGTTCATTTCATGCAAGGACCCGAGTAGTCGGAGAATCGAGGCTGTCGTGGGATTCTTGTTGAGCGACCGGGGCATTTCGCTGTCTGCCACGATAGATTCAATCAAGCCCGAAGCAGCGGTTGTCGGCTCCGGAGGTGGTGGTCCGGGCACCCTCTTGAACTTGATCGTGTGAATAGCTGACCAAACGTTCCTTGAGCTAACATCCACGTTTTCACGGTCGTGGTGGACAGCGCGGTAGATGGTCGTCTCGTTTGAGAGCGGCTTTCCGTCAATACTGAACTCGATGTGCCAGTCCTGGGACGGGGAAGCAATTGCAGCGGCGTAAGACGATGGACGACCAGCCGTGGCTAACGATTGGCTACCAGACGACGTCTGCGCAGGACGAGATGACGATGACTTGGACACAGGCGTGGATTGAGATGGAGTCGACACACGAGTTCCATCCTCTTTCCGAGCCGTAACCTTGCCTGTGGATGCCACCTCCATGTTGACAGCGGATGGATCATGGCCATGATTTTCAGGCTCATCATCATCATCCATATCATCGACAATGGCACTCAGTGCATCAGCACCGTCGCCATCCTCGTCCTCATCTTCTTCCCTGTCACTAACTTGTCTCGCATCGGCACACTCAAGGGGCTCGTCGTGTTGTGCTTCTTCTTCTTCCTCGCCCTGGGCTTGCTGGTGTCGCCCGGAACGTCTGGGCTTTGCACGTTGAGGTTCCTCAGTAGACGGATCATTACCACTGGGCTCATTAGGCCGCGATGACGAATGAGCCACCGCGGATGAGGAACGAGAATCATTGCCACTTCCGCTTGACCTATCACTGTTCCCAGTGAGCTGCTCCCGAAGCCGTGCAGCATTAGCAAGCTGGGACAAAAGTGTGTCGCGGCTGTTAGAGGCACGCGGTCGATCTGCCAGGCTAATTCTCGGGTGAAGGAAATCATCGAGAGATTTGAAGGTAGCGATGGCGTGAATGGACACCATAATGTTCTTGTAGGTGCGGGGGATGTCAGAATCCTCATCAGCGACGAGCTTGAGCCTAATCTGCTTTCCGAGCATGTGGATGGCGTTGCTTCGCGAATTCTCAAGCGAGTTTTGGTTGACCGTCATGACCTCAAAATGCTCAGTCCGGCTGAGCAAGTCTTGTAACTTATTGATCAGCACACTAAACGGCGTCGTAGCAGTGCTTTGGCTTTGCGCCTTTTCTGAAATGGCCGTTCCCATGAACGCCTGCAGGAAAGCGGTACGAGCTTCGCGCGTGGACGAAGATTGGAAATCGCCAAAGACGTCTAGAAGGACATTAATGACGCCCGAATTGAGTAATTCCGAGCTAGTGATACTTTCCAGGGCATCTCCGTCGAAATAAGATGCAAGCTTCTTGAAGAGTGGGAGACCGTTGCGGTCCCCAGCAGTGTCCTTGTAGCAGGACTTGATGTCTGCAGCGAGGGCCTGTAACTGATCGAGGATCTCTAGAGCCTTGTTCCGCATGTCTTTGCCTTCACTGGCTTCATACATTTCGACAAAGGCCCGGGCATCACGGATGACGAGATCTTGCAGCATAGTATCGATTTTCGCAGAAAACCTAGTGTCGAAGGCCAGGCTGTCTGACACGGAGATGTCACCGTCGTCTGGGTAACCATCCTGATCGTCATCCTCGTCATCATTGTCGTTGTCATCATCAGCGTCCTCGTCTTCATCGCCCTCTTGGCCCTCGATATCAGACGTGGGGTTATCGACCGCGGTTTCATCTCCGCTTGTCGACCGAGCATCATCCACCGTGCTCGTAGACGGCGATCCCTGCACATGCTTATTTTGCTCGGTTGAGAGGGACTGCTCGGATAACTTGACAATTTCCGAAATAACACCCTCGCGGTGGAACTGATATTGATAGACATGCTCCAATCGCTGGAACAGGAGTTCCGCACACCGCAGTGCTAGCGACATCAAGGACGGGTGATCCTTCTGTGACAGAATCGCTCCGAGGAATGATGCATAGGGAACGGTGCATAGGGCCTCCTCGATCAACGCAACGTCCAAGTTGTGGAGCATTTTGAGCTGTGCAACGAGAACCTTCTGCCGGACGCCCAGGTTGACCGTGCTCGAAAATGCGTCAGTCAATGTGGGAAGCAAAATCATAGCAAAACGCTTGAGTTGGGCTTTGCATTCCATCAACAGGGACCGCCGCTTCTTGGCCGATTCCTTCGTCTTGGGTGAGTGGGAGCCGAGAGTCATGTTGGTTTCAAAATATGTGCTCAACACGCCATCTTCCTCGCTTGTTTGGCTGGTCGGTACTCCGGGCAGAAGCTCGCAGATGACATTGAGGGTCTCAAAAACTTGTTCCCGAGGACGATGGATCAATGCCTGCATGACAAGAACCCCGTCCATCTTCACAGACGACTTGTCTAACTGTGGGGGTGAAACGCCAGTCAAGATCTGATACAGCGTGTCGACCACGTCCATCCGGAGGAGCTCCGCAGACAAACGAGGGCTGGCCTTGCAGGTGATGGCGAGAACCCGGAGGAACTGTGTATGGATGTGCGGTCCAATTAAATTGGTGGTTCCGGGCAACAAAAGACGGAGTACAGCTTTGAGCATGGCGGGCTCGATGAGTTCTTCTAACTTTCCCGGCTTATGCTTGAAGCTCTCCACGATTCGAGACACACAGAGACATCCTTGTTCAACCACCTTGGGATCGTTGCTTGAAAGAACATTGAGAAGCGTTGGCATCACATCACGAACGACGGGGAATGAATCTGTAGGAAGATTTCGGCAACAGTTGGCGGCGGTGGTCACAGCTGTACGTTGTGTGCTAGTTGGGAAGAAGTCGAGGTAGGTCAAGCAAGCCGTCAAACCACCTTCCCGTACGATGGAGCCGGGAAAGTCAACTGAGATCTTGGAGAGAGTCTGGACAAAGTCAGCTTCTGCAGGTCTTTTAATCGCCACGCGGGAGGGATTAAAACTTACACTAAGAGCTTGCTCAGCTAAATCGATGAATTGAATATCCAATAATTTCTGACACAAGATGGGCACAGCACCACCATATACCACATTGGCGACTGAGCCCTGCAGGGCTTCCATCAAATTCGCCAGACAGCGGCAGGCAAGCAGCATGATCTCCGGGTTCTCCTCGCCAAAGTCACTAGGTTGCATCAGTGCAACGAGTTCCTTGACGTAGGGATCGGGAGCAAAGGCCCCGGCCAGATTGTCCTCGTTGGAGACAAGGAGGAGGTCAGATAGCTCCTGCAGGGCAATCAATTGGATGGAGGGGTCTTCTTTCATTCGTAAGTTGCAGAGAATTTCTCGCAGCCGCGAGGTCATCCCCGACATCATACCACTGAGCGCACGGAGCGTACTTTGAAGTCCCAAAGGGCCGCGAGAACCGAAAATGGCGCTGCCGAATGGGTCTCCGTCATCGTCATCGAAAGCAGAAGGATTCGTGCCATCGTTGCTGTCGCTGGGCGGCGAAGACTCGTGGTCATCCATGTCCTCATCCTCTTCGTCCTCTTCTTCCTGCTCTGGACTCTCTATTTCCTCTTCGGCGTCTTTCATAATCGTATCCTGATTGGTTCTACCCGAACGCTTCTTGTGTCGACGTGGAGGTGGAGACTGTGTCGTTGCAAGTCGACCTACTTGATCTGAGATGTTAATATCGGGCGAACCCATCATCCACGAGCCAAAGGTCCCTTGCATACCTTGCGAGACCTTGGCATGCTTGCTAGACTTTCGTCGGTTGGTTGGAGGGGACGGGATCTTCGGAGTTTCCTCCGTAGGTCGTGAGGACGGACTGTTTGATTGTATCAGCTAACATGATGCTAAGGACAAGGATCTGAAACCCAACGCTTACCCTGGTTGTGACATTGCCGGCCGATTCCTATTACCACGACGCGTGACAGCGGGAGCGGGAGCGGGAGCTGTCTGGGGAGAAACACCGAGCCGCTGTCGCTTTTGTCTCCTGGGCGGCGAAGAAGATTTCGGTTGTGTTGGAATATCCAGAGACTGATCAAGGCGAGTATGGGCCTTACGCTTGCGGGAACGAGGCTGGCCCGAACCAGCGGCGAGGTTCGAGGGCGACGGACCGTGACTAGTGGACTGGGGAGACTCTGCGGCAACTCTCGCTGCTGAGCGAGTGACTCTGGAGGACATGAGAAACTGATACTTATTATTGCTCCAGGCAGGAAGCGGGAGATGGCAGGGATGATGAGGAAGGGTATGGTAAGGTACAGAGGGTCAATGGCTGATAGAATGCACAGCGATGTGGTCCATTCGCAAGTGAACTGAAGAGGGGAAGAGGGAAGTCTAGCGAAGATGATGGGAACCCAACTGCGATCGTTCCGTGAGTACCTTGCCGCCCGGAGTTCTTCGTAATCGTGCGAATACTTTCACCAAAGAGCGTAAAAACCCGGCTGTCTATTGCACCTTTGACGATGGGGGCTCGAGTCAAGCAAGGTCCCGACAAGAACGATAGAGCGGGAGGAAGCGGAATGAAGCAAAGGCGGGGGGGGGGGGGGTGAATGATAAGCCAAAGACGAATGGATCAGTACCTCGAGGTAGAAGAGGCTCTAGACGTAGAAGCAGCAGCAGCAGCAGCAGCAGTGGTTGTAGCGGTGCGAGTATTATCCGGCTTGCTGGACGCAGTGGCGGCGGTTCCAGCGGCGGCGGCGGCGGAAGAGGGAACGGAGCGAGAGTCCTCACGAGGGTCCTGGCGGCGTAAGGTGGCCCTTTGTCTGGCCATAAGTCGAAGCTAGACGGAGAAGGGAAAGTATGAGATCGCGGTCACCGGTTAAGCGCCATCCGTAATCTGAGGAGATGTTGGGAATGTTGGAGGTTGGAGGTTGGAGGGAGTGGCCAAGCGGGTTCGCTTCCGGTGGGCGATAAGAGAGAGCGAGAGACGAAAGAATAATAGATATAGAGAAAGCTTAGAATGCAAAGTGTACGATGATAAAGCAAAGACAGATAGAAATCAAATGAAGATGAAATATAATAGGAGATTGAGATGGAAAAGGAAGAAGAAGAGGGGAGGAGGGATGGAGCTGAGGAAGAGGAAGAGGAAGAAGAGAAGATCCGCCGTCGGTTGGGTTGACGTGGTGGAGGGACCAGCGTCAGACACCAGTACGGTACAATAATATATGCAGAGATTATATGAAGATAATTCAAGTACTAGTACTAGTACTTGTAGTAAATCAATAATACAACATATGGTTATGTTAAGAATGAGTTCCAAGTGAGATGAAGATCACTGTCTCGTGGATACCCCGGAATACTACTACCCCAGTCACCACTGTCACTATGCCACCACTACGCATCGCAATGGTTTGGTGGTTATGGATAACTATAGGAAACACAATACGATACTGAAAGAAATAAATAATATAATTACCGGATCCTTGCCGGTGGTGGTTTTGACTTGAAATACAGTGTGCTCCGAATACGGAGCGACATTTGAATAGCTTCACTTTTTTCCTAATCGGGACATGAAGCGGATATGGATCACCGGTTTCTTACTGTCAATTCAGTCTATTCAACATTTTGTCTACGACTACATAAACTGCTCTACTCCATACCTTTTTTTTTTTTTTTTTTTTTTCTGCACTTTTATACGATTTTCTAATTTTACAGCAGTGCTCAATCACGTCAACCCGACCGTAGGATACACCATGCTCTCTATATATCCCTCAGAATCAACATTACTCTGTACTCCGAGTAACTTGCTAACATCCGTTTACTATGTAGATTTATAAGGAGAGCTACGTACTGTACTCCGTATTTCGTACGCTCCGATCTGACTTCCGGCTAATGACCCCTCATCACCGAGGTCCAGCATTATTAATAGACAAGAGCCCTGTTCCTTGCATTTTTCGTCTTTTTTTTTTTTTTTTTTTTTTTTTTTTTTTTTTTTTTTTTTTGCGTGCTTGGGAATAGAGCTTGACTGAGTAATAATAAACTACTTTAACTGCTAAAAAGAAATCCGCCTCCGCGCTTTTTTCATATCCGCCGCCCGCCTTCGGCTTTTGTCTGTTTTCGTTCACCTGAAGGAAAACTCTCTCTCCTCCTCTCCTCCTCATTTTTCTCTCACCTCTGCTCCATACCAAGATCCAGATTTGCTTTACATTCTATCAAAACATCGTCAATATATATCGTCTCCTCTTCAATCGTCCTCAAAATCCATTTCCCCTCCTCCCCCGCTAAACCGCCGCCATGACGCAGAGCGACCAGGCTCGCCCCATCCCCAAGAACCCTTCAGACGACTATGCCTTCCCCGAAATTAGAATGAAGACTAAGATGGACGACCCGGAGAAAACGCCATTGCTGCTGGTCGCTTGTGGTTCCTTCTCGCCCATTACCTATCTGCACCTGCGCATGTTCGAGATGGCTGCCGATTACGTCAAGTTCAGCACCGACTTTGAAATGATCGGGGGATATTTGTCGCCTGTATCGGATGCGTATCGCAAGGCTGGTCTGGCCAGTGCTGAGGATCGGTATGGTCTTTGCTCTACTAGTATTCTCAGGGCTCGGGGATGATACTGACGCTGCAAAAGTATTGCCATGTGCCAACTTGCCGTGGACCAGACCTCCGACTGGCTGATGGTGGACACCTGGGAGCCTCTGCAGAAAGAATACCAACCGACCGCTGTCGTGTTGGACCACATTGACTATGAGATTAATACCGTGCGACAGGGTGTTGAGGCTGGTGATGGAACTCGCAAGCCCGTCCGCGTCGCTCTCTTGGCTGGTGCCGACCTGGTTCACACCATGTCGACCCCTGGTGTGTGGAGTGAGAAGGATTTGGATCACATTCTGGGCAAATACGGGGTACGTTGCATTGATCACTGCTTAGATATTTTATCTAACAGAGTCGCAGTCCTTCATCGTCGAGCGCAGCGGAACCGATATCGACGAAGCCCTCGCATCCCTTCAACCATGGAAAGACAACATCTATGTCATCCAACAACTCATTCAGAACGATGTCAGCAGCACAAAGATCCGACTTTTTCTGCGCCGTGAGATGAGCGTGCGCTACCTGATCCCGGTCCCGGTCATCCACTACATCGAACAACACCATCTTTACGAAGACGAGGGCTCGACCGGTGTCTCCGACAAAGGCAATGCCAAGCAAGACATCAGTGGTTCAGCATGATTCATGCCTGGAGTGACCTGTCTCTCTTTTGCTCGTCGCGCTTTACGATAGAATATGTTACGACCTGTCGAATCGCCACGAACATGTCTACGAAGTAAATGCCTCTATTCCAGTCCTCCCAACGGCACGTTCGATGGCCACTCATTCGGCCGCTACGATTTCACTCCATCCCCCTTGTCTGGCAGCAGCGCCGTGTTCAATGACACTCTATAATGAATACGATTAATCACGATAGAACTGGACCTGTCGATATCATGCGGAAAGAGCTATAGGCCCGCGACCGCGACACGCTGTATCCCGACTTTGCCAGGCGTTCTTCTGTTGTAGGTTATAACGAGGAAAAGACACTTCTGGCATAGATCTACTTGCCTCTTGTTTCCTTGATATGTTTTTTTCTGATGATCGATTTATACTACTATACCCTGAGCCCGATGCCATTTTATGATCCTATCTTTTTCCTTCTCAGATAGAAAAATAGGAAGATGGATTATATCCACCGATTATTTTGTTCGATTGCGCCTTTTTCAAAACAGGACAGCGAATCGTCACTTGTGCTTTTCCATCTATCTACCTATCCAACTCTGTATTCTCTGTAAACCTCGTATGTATGAACAGATGCAAGATAGACATAGAAATAGATATCCACAGATACCAAAAAGAAGAAGAAAGAAGAAAAATTGCATGAATTCATGCATCATAATCATAACCATCATTATCCAACCTGATCCCAATGTATGTATGTACAGCCCTTAACCAAAGAAGGTATATTAATGTATGAATGAAGGTGAAGAAAAATAACTCCCGAAAATGAAAAATGAAGATGAGAAGGGATCGATGAATGCCAAAATGAGAATGAAAAATAAAAAGTGCAGGAGATCGATGAAGCTGTGCAGGTGAAAAAGAGGAAGAAAAGGTGAATGATATCAACCACTCCACAACTCCTCCGCCTCCAAGACTCCCAGAATTACTTCCGGGTTTGTCTCGTCGACTCCAGCGATCACTGAGACCCGATCGCTCTGGCTGACGAGTTTGCACACTTCATCGACAGGACTTGAAGCTGGAACGCAGAGGAACTGGTCCTGCGGGACGGAGACGGAGATGCCAGAGGCGGAGATTGCGGAGAGAGCCATGTCCACGTTGTGAGTGGTTGTGAGGGAGTGGAGGTGACGAGGTGTGATGAGGGAGGTAAAGGAGGTAGTAGAGGACGTATAGTGTGAGATAGAGACCCAAGATTTGGCATCTGGGTTTTGAACGGCGGCTAAAAGGATGTCGAGGAGGCGGGTCTCATGGCCGAGAGTGGTAGAGACAGTGGGTATCTTATTCAGAGGAACGAAGCGATTCGAAATGACATCTTGCTTCTGCTGCGTCTGCGAGCCATCATCCGACGGGCGAGACTGCAGATAATCCGACGGCGTGGAAGTCAACGGAGACGTAGACAACATGCTCATAGGAGTCATCGCCGCGGTCGCCGCGCCAATGGCACCACCAGGATGGAAACTTTTGAAGACTTCCGCAGGGCCGCGATCTGGGGGTTTATGCAGTCGCTGCGCCGTTGCCAGGGCTAGGGCATCACCCAGCGCTAAGGCCACAGTTGTAGACGAGGTCGGGGCACTAAGGCCAAAGGAGGACTCTTCGTCTTCGTGGATCGGAGCAGGGAGGGATATCGCCATGTCCGGAGACTGGAATGAGACGAGCGGACAGGTTGACGGGTGCGTATGCGAAGTAATTGCGATAATGGGGACCGTGGGAGGGATATGAGGGAGGAACAGCAGGAGTTCCTTGGTGCGACCAGAGAATGAAATCAACAGCAGGGTATCGTTCTAACCAGCATTGTCAGCAATATATAGATTCCACTTTGCAGCCCTGGTGTAACATACCTCACGAATAACCCCCAAATCCCCATGCAGCGCCTCCGTCGGGTGTAAGAACATACTAAAAATGCCCAAGCTATTCATCGTCGCCTCGATCTTCCTCGCAATCTTCCCGCTCTTCCCGACACCACAAAACACCAGCTTCCCCCCATTCTGTATAGTCCGCACGATCTTATCCACCGCGCGCACGAGGTTCTCCTGCGCAAGGCCGTCGGTCTGGTAGAGTCGCTCGAGGTGAGCCAACGCCGCGCGCTCCGTCGAAAGCACATGGATCGCCGTCAGAAGAGAAGAGGTGGCATCTTTGGTAGATACGTTTGGAGAGCCCTTTGGCATGTCAGGAGGTGTCAATGGTCCCGTGGGGTATTCGTCGTGGATGGAGGCCGGCATCGCAACGGACAACGGGGTCGCCTTGAGGCGTTGATGCAGAAGGGAGGCGTGCATTGACGGGGGAGAAAGGAATGAAGGGAAGAGGTCTCCCTGGAAAAGAGAGTGGGTATAAAAATAATAATAAAGAAGAAAGAAAGAAAACAAAAACAAGGCTGGAATCGAAGAAAAAAAAGAAAGAAATCGAAACGCGGGGATGTGGGAAAAAGGAAGAGATGCCGATTATCTCGCCATGTCGGAGATAAAAATCATGAACACTATGTACCAGCCAATCCTCGCTGCATTCACACTGCGCAAACGATAAGGACAAGACGAAGTAAATTCGGACGGCAAATATTCATTTCGGGTCCACTATCACACCATAGCTACTAGAACATTCACTCGATCTACTCTGTAAAAGTAACAGAATTCACTTTCCGAGGCCCCCGATATCGTACATCTCCACACTATCTATAATGCAGTGAAAATCAAGAAATCGGCTTGATTCCCTTGTGAATCGCTGCAATTCCACCCGTCAGGTTCTCAAATCCTCGTCCGGGAATCATAAACCCGGCCTTTTGGATCATTCCCCGGAATTCCTCTTGGCTGGGGAACTGCTCGATACTCTCCACCAGATACTGATAGCTATCCCGATCCCCAGCAACCAAGTGTCCAATCAACGGGATCGCGCTGAAGCTCCAACGCTTGTAGACGGCATTGAACAGCTCGTTGTCCACCTTGCTGAACTCCATGCACGCAAACACACCACCGGGCTTCAGAACCCGGAAAGCCTCATTCAAAGCTGCCTGCTTGTCCGTAAAGTTGCGAATTCCAAATACCACCGTGTAGAGGTCGACCGAGCTATCCGGGATCAAAGGCATGGTCTGCGCATTGGCTTCCATAAACGATAGACGGTTCGTGTTGTAGTACGGCGTGTCGATGCTGCGCTTCTTCCCCTCCGCCAGCATGTCCGGATTGATGTCGGAGATCGTCACCCGCGTGTTGAGGTCATGGTTGATATTCGTGGCATGGTCCAGCATGCGAAAAGCGATGTCGCCAGTCCCGCCGGCGATATCCAGGATATTCCAGCCTTTTCCGGTCGAGTCGGTGTCGCGCGACGGCAGAGCAGACCCGGGGTTCAACGAGCGTACAAAATGGTCTTTCCAGAGACGGTGGATTCCCATCGACATAAGGTCGTTCATCGTGTCGTACGAGCTGGCGACGGAGCTAAAGACGGCCCCCACTGTTCCGCATCAGTCTTGTTAGCTAGGTCTTGTTCCAAAACGCCAATTAACTGACGAACCCATTGACTCTTTTTGCGTCTCAGGTACATCTCGAAATCCAAAATGCGTCGTCTGTCCATCCTTTCTGGGCTGGTCCTGGGCACGAAGGGAGCAGGAGAAGCACCGGTAGGGCGTCGGAGGTGCTGCCAACCTCCGCTTCGCACTGTAATGCAGACTCCGCCAGAGGGACCGAGACATGGTGAACTATCGTAGAAAGATGAGGGAGAAATTTTGAAATAAGGAAGACAAGGGTTGCTGAGACTTGAGAAAGAATTGAAAAGGTGGCAGAGGCAGCGGTTGAAACAGCCCTCTTCCTGGAACTTTTTCTGCCGATTGGCGGAAGGTCGTCAATTACCCGAATGGGATTCTACGGCTTCTATAACAGTCCGAGATATATTTCTGTTCCTATGTTCGATCTTTGATTAATTGAAGGTTGGTACCTTCAAATTCGCACGCATAATGTCCAGGTCTCTCTGATTGAATCCCAGGTGACTCCTCAAGTACCCCTCAACGCCCCCCTCAAAGGAGTTTTCTATCGCCGGCAAGAATCCCACCATGGCATTCGCACGGACGTTACATAGCTGCAACATGCCTATACTCTCTGGTCCGGCCCCGGAACCTGTATGGAATTGAAGTATCTTTGTCAGGGATGGCCGATGTGCTTCCATTCCGATACGAGTGAGTGTGTAGTCGTGAATTATGGCCTCGCGCGGGCTACCTGCCAGACACAGGATCAATGCTGCCAGTACTCCAGAGCGATCTTTTCCGGCTGTAGGTATCCATGAGAAGGGCGTGATAACCGACAGAAGCATCAGAACTTACCCGAGCAATGAAAGAGAAAAGGCTCTCGCGGAGCATCCCGAATATGTTCAAAGACCTTTTGGAAGATCGGTGCAGAAACCTTCATGATTTCCAAATACATCTTCGCATACCCACTGGCTCCTTCGTCTCCATGGGCAAAGTCCCTAGGATCAACCGGAACCGGGGTACATGTATACGGCGCCCAAACTGTTTGAACACCCTCAATATCAGGGCTGGGAGATTGCATGCGCTCCCCTTGATGGCGTAGGTCGAAGATGACACTGATACCGAGCTGGCGAATGAGAAATACTCTGCCTTCCGGAGAGACTTTTTCTAGAGCTCCCGAACGGTAAGCAAAGCCCGGGCGAACTGGTGACTGGGATGAGCCACTGGCGTGCTCGCTGATGTCGCGGGCATTGACAACTCCCGGGATAGCGACAAAGGGTGGCCGCGACATGACGTTGTCCACAATGTCATTTGGAATCTGGGTGCGGATGTCTGTCGCGACTAGCTTTGGTATGTTGTATTGCGGTTCCATTGCGATCTGAGACGCAGGTTCTGGACTCTTGCCAGACGTGAAGAGCTTACCCCAAAACTCTTTGCACATACAATATGTTTTCACCATGCCAGTAAGGGGACTTCAAATGGCGGAAGCAACCAGTGAGGAGGCCAATGACCTCCACGGTCGTCTTCTTCCCTCCGTAAGCCTCTTCAGTTCAATTGTAAGATCAGAATGTCTTGTGCAACTGAGTAAGATGAGAACCTCGTCATTGTCTGGGAATTTGGATCCAGGGACACATCGAATTGACATCATTCCTGTCAAACCTTGGGTCATTCACAGACTTCCCAGGCACAAAAAATTATATCCGCTTAATCTAAGTAGCAGCGTGTCCCGTAGAAAGGCCATTCTCTTGTCATGTTCGAACTATCCGAAAAAGGAAAAATTGATAAACCCTCATCGGTTATGTTCGGCGCTCACATGACGTCTTCCACCGTGAATAGCCGCTCTCCGCATCTGCCCCGGATTCCCCTACAGAGCCTCAAGAAGGGCCTCTTCGTCCATCCCCAGCGGCTGTTGGGTTTGACTCTTTATCATGACCCCATTGAGCACCCATAATGTCTTTTAGTCTCCTTGGACGCCTTCCGCGGGCGGTTCGCGCTCCCCAGCCTGCTAGAATCACAGCACGATGGAGCAGTTCCTTATCGCAGCGTCCGGGGTCGGATCGGTAGGTGGACGTTCTGCTTCCGTTCGGTGTATCAGAGGACAATCAAATCAACAATTGCTAACGGATGATGTTTTGATAGTGTCCAATTCCCCGGTGCCGTAAACAGTAAATTCACGACCGACATGGCGTTTATGAAGCCCTCCGATATGCCCTACATTCCAACCTACAGAGTCATGGATTCGGACGGTGCGCTGGTTGGAACGGATAAGAAACGACCTGTTGATGTCTCGAATGAGGAGATCTTGACGTGGTACAAGAACATGTTGACTGGTGTGTAAAGCTGCTAGCTAGGGATGGATATGTGTAATCGGGAATGGGGCTGATATATATCCAGTGAGCGTTATGGATGGGATTATGTTCGAGGCACAAAGACAAGGTCGTCTCAGCTTCTACATGGTGAGTGACTTTACTAGATCCAAAACAATTGGTCTGGCCATTGACATCCCCAGGTATCCGCAGGTGAAGAAGGTATCAGTGTCGGTTCCGCAGCGGCATTGACCCCAGACGATACGGTATTTGCGCAATATCGCGAAACAGGAGTCTTCCAGCAGCGTGGTTTTACCCTAAAGGACTTTATGAGCCAACTCTTCGCCAATAAAAATGACAGTGGAAAAGGCCGAAATATGCCCGTGCATTACGGATCCGGCTATCCTCGCAATGTCAGTACCAACTACGCAGATGAGAGCGACCATTCTTACTGATAAATTATCCAGCACACCATCTCTTCCCCTCTAGCAACCCAAATCCCTCAAGCCTCCGGGGCAGCCTACGCGCTCAAACTCCAAGCCCTCCAGAACCCTAACATCCCACCCCGCATCGTCGCCTGTTACTTCGGCGAAGGCGCCGCCAGCGAAGGCGACTTCCATGCCGGTCTCAACATCGCTGCGACCCGTTCGTGTCCGGTCGTCTTCATCTGCCGCAACAACGGCTACGCCATTTCTACTCCTACCCTGGAACAATACCGCGGTGACGGCATCGCAAGTCGTGGCCTAGGATATGGTATCGATACGATCCGCGTCGACGGAAACGACATCTTCGCCGTCTACGAAGCAACACGGGAAGCTCGCCGTATCGCCCTCGAAGACGGCGGCCGACCAGTCCTCGTCGAAGCGATGAGCTACCGCGTCTCCCATCACAGCACGAGTGACGATAGCTTCGCGTATCGAGCGCGCGTGGAGGTCGAAGACTGGAAACGCCGCGATAACCCCATTATCCGACTACGGAAGTGGTTGGAGAACCAGGGACTGTGGAATGAGGATCTCGAGCGGGATACCCGGAGTCAGATGCGGAAGGCTGTCTTGCAGGAGTTTGGAGCTGCGGAGCGTGAGAAGAAACCGCCTATTAGGGTGGCTTTTGAGGATGTTTATGAAGAGGTCACTGAGGAGCAACAGGCGCAGATGAAGGAGCTTCGGAGGATTCTGGAGATGTATCCGGAGGAGTATGATGTGCGGCAGTTTGAAGATGGAGTTAATAGTCTGTAGTGGTGAAATTGCATATAGCCATACAGCATGACTGTTTTTGTTTTCTCGCTGTTCGAGCATGACTTTCTAGCTATTATTAACTCTCATTAGAACCTCAGCAACAAAACCGACGAGACATATAACCCCCATCAAGAAAGACGTGCAAAACGCAGAACTTTCTGTATCAGACCCCATACCACTTCCCCGACACCCCGACACCCCTCATGATCCATTGCAAAATGTCTTCCATCTATAATTACATGAATAGCACCCTATCAAACCAAATCCGACTAGCTGCGGCCCGCAAGTAACAGAAAACAAGAGAGATAGACCCAAACGCCTTACCTCCAACCAACAAAGCCCATCCCGCTCATCCTCATCTATTCGCTGACCATTCTGGAAAAAGACCCATCCCGGTGAGCATATCTCGTTCTGGTTAAAGCTTTTATGGTATTTAATCGCCGCCTATAAGTCCAGGATCACGGCGAACAAAGTATCCGAACAGTCACTGCCATATCTCACCCTTAGTCCTATGAGTGAATTTCGATACTCCGTCATCATCTAGCCACTTCATTTACCACATTCTCATCCTTATCTGAAGACCATTAACAATCATCTCTGAGGCCAGTTGATATACTTACATTTATCTATGCTACTGGACTCGAATATCTCGCGTACGGAATCCCAACAATACAATGACATTCAGGAGAGATGCTTCTATTTCCAAAAAGGAACATGGCAGATCGTTATTCCCCCCCGCTCAAGTCTGCCAACATGGTTTGATCCGATTCGAGAGCCAAATCTGCATTCTGTATATCTGGATTCTGGCTCTATGCACCACAGTCAAATACCAGAGCTGCAGGTTTCTCTTGGAACGGCAGTTACTCAATATGTAATGAGAATTTCCCAGCCAGAGACCATATCACATGCAAATCTACGCACCGTTGATGTATACTGTGCTGTTTGGAGGAAGCTTGGTCATTAAGGAAAACTGGGAGGCACATTCCCGTCTGTATGCCGGCAGACCCTATGAGTTTGCTAGAGGTGCAGAAGCAGAAAGTAGGATGATTTTAGAAATACCTGACATGCTGTCTAATTACCGGACAACTTAGTGCTAGCCCTGAGAGAACTTATTCATTGTGATGTCTTCCTTGTAGGAGCCGCGGCCCTTCGTCTGTGCCTCTGTGATCTTGAAACCACTGCCCAGTGAGGGATATATACCCTCTATCCAACGAAGCAAAAGTGGAATAATACCATTGGGTAGATGCCACCCTTTCAATCTCTTTTCACCAGAAGAACAGGAGGAGTGTCCCCGGGTCTTGAAAATGAGTGTATGATCGAAGACTGTGTTTGGGCTTGACATAAAAGGCACACCCTAGACATGCTCAATCATGAACCATACTGGGTTTCTATCTTCATTGCTGCCTCACTTTAGAGAACACTGATTTTTCTGGTCCCTCACAGCTCATATTATACAGAGCAAGCTTGACACGGTAAGTAGAATTTCTTCTCTTGTTATTTAACATACTACATACTCACTGCTCAGATTTAGATCCCAGAGATTGAACAATTCTTCTTCTGCAACAAGATCCTCTCTTATAAACTGCACCTCATCAGCTACAATGATTGGAAACTCATCCTGAGGAGTATGATCATCCTCATTTACAGTGCTCCATAAACCAGCAACACTTGTATATGTATGACACTGTTCCATCCTTTCCATTAGAAGTCCATCGTTTCTTACAGTATCCCAATACCATGAACTATACATGAAATGCGTAGCTTTTCCTGGAGCGCATTGTTCACGACCTATGTTGATCTTCTGTGATGGTAATATCGATGCCTGTTGTCGCGTTTTGTGAGGGTACTTGCGATTCACCCTTGAATATAACCGCTTCGATCTCATTCCGAAAGCGCAACTCTGCCTCTTCAATACTGTAAAGAGTGAGGCATCAAGGGAATCCGGGTTAACGTCCCGTTGCACGATTGAAATCTGCAACAAGCATTTCTTCGGTGCATAGAGGTGACTTTTCAATCGTTCGAGGGATGTAAAAAGTCGGACGGAGGTCCTCCCAGCCGTGAGCTCAATTTCCACCACTGTATGGTGAAAGTTCTATCTCGAGCTTTCAAGGAGTCATCGATGATTCGTTCTTTGTGCAAAACGTATCTTGTTCGCATTGCCTTTCGAATTCCTTCCTGAAAGCCTCAACTGGGCGTCACCAAGGCAAAATGCGGTGTCTTGATACCACAGTAGAAATACTTCATCCTCGTTTTCAGCGGAAAAGTCTCGCCATGACTTTGAATTGCTGGCCATGTTCTGTCACGTATCAGAACGACAGATTTACGATTTTAAGCGCGGTTGTGTTTCTCATAAACTGCGTGAACTCGTCGGGGAGAATCATCAGGCCTTTCAAGCCTATAATAAAAGGACATGTCGCTTTCGAAAACTTGCCCTGTATCCCGCTCAATCGATATCTTGATCTGAATGCGTACCTTATTGTGAGTTAGCAACCGCATGCACCGTTATCAGTACCGACGGCTTATAAGACGATTCTATGCCCAAGCAAATAGACCGCTTGACGGGCTTCAAAGCCTATATCTTTCCATGGTATTATAGCCGCGATTTCTTGTAACTAAACTATAGCCTTTGCCGGTAATGTCATAAGGCTGGCCGTGATTTTCCAGCAGCACAACTACAATCTCTTTTTAGTATTCCTCTTTTCTTGTTTCTCTTATTATTGGGAAGAGAAAAGGGAGGGAACTCATACCTTGTTCCATTCGGGTGCCTCATGGGGATCTCATAGCCATATGATAGTATGTCGTTGTTTAGGTCCTCCAGAGATGTGGCAAACAAAATTTTGTTTGCAGAGGCGAAAGTGATCAAAGAACTGACCCGACGGCCTCACCTGTGCTTCGCCGATACAAAGCGCTATCCTCTGCCAGTCCATGTATCTTTCCCAAACATCGAAGCAGTTCCAACATCTGTCTCGGATTTCTAATCCATGAGACCCGCGGCATTTTTGAGCACTGAGGTATGCACGACGACAAGAGATCAAGCATCTCATCAGAGAATATCAACAGAATTGCTGATCCCGAGTCGTACGTTATGTCG